ATACATTTTTTTTTAAACTGAGGTTTGATTACGTTATTAAATTTTATGTAAACTTATCGGTTATTTTATAATAGCCAATATACCTACCTACCTATACTGAATAGTGAATATGTAATATATTATGTCTGATGCAGACGAACTAGACATTATTTGATTCGAAGTGTAATTTAACACTATTTTATAATGAGTATCGTATACGGGTATAAAATATAATATAGGTACAAAGATGCCTAGTGCGTTCATCTTAATTTTCTGATTTTTGGACGATACAAAAATTATATTGTCATGGTAGAATATGATCAGGCAACATAATAATATGGGCGGAAATAAATTAAACACGCACATAATAATATTACCTACAATTTTTAGAATAAAACCAACCATGTATCAAACTATTCATACCAGTTAACATCTGTGAATAGTATATGTTTTGTACATTATATGTTTATCGAATTAATCTCAAGATGCATAATATAAATTATGTATTATGCCTTACATTCTACATTTCTACTTCAACCTTCTATAAAATCCGAGATCGTTTTGAATTCTGCGCAAGGCATTAAAAGTGAAAACTATAAGTATTAATATCGACTTTTGAAATTGTTTAGCACAATGACATATATATGAAGTATGTTGTACCTATTGCTCTAGTTTAAGAGTGCAATAATTGCAAATAAATTTATTGCTAATAAAAAATGTATTAATGTAGGACTTAAATTATTTAAGTCCTACATTAATACATTTTTTATTGATTTTCTACAGTTTTCCAGTAAGCAAGTAATGTAATTATTATTAATTTTGAAATATAGTTTTGTTTATGCACATAAGACATAAAACCACATAATTTTAATATTTTTTGATAGTCTTGAAAACTAAGTGATTAAATGCGATGAGGCACTATGGTAAGGGTAACTTTTTTTTCTTTTTTTGGAAGTATAATAGAACATTGTTTATTTGTTTATTACCATGGGTACGATCGGTCCAGTGTTGGGTAAATTACTTTTTTCAAAAGTAACAAAGTTACTTTACTCGTTACTTAGAGATAAACGTAATAAGGTTACTTTACTAATTTGCTCTCGATACTCAAATAATATTTTAATGGAATTACAGAAGAAATAACTATACTTTTCAAATAAAAAAGTAAATAAGTTACTTTCTCGACATAGAAAAAAAAACTATTACTTTTAAATTTTCTGAGCAATTTATTGTCTTGTTCAAGAAACCTAACAAGAAATACACTGTAGTAAAAAAAGTATTCCAAAAAATGTTCAAAATAAATGATATATGAAAATATATTAAACATGAAGTATACACAATACGGCTGTCGACTGATGGACCGACGCCCGATATAACAATTAACAGCTCTCAATCGTATTATTAAATACTAAATAGTAGGTATATAAAAATAAACCGTTTCTTAAAAGGGGAAAATGGCTATAATATAATAACTTATAACGTTGCAATGTAAATATTTTGATTTATCATTTCTTAGTAGGTATATAATATTATTTACCTATGAGAAAAATATTATTTTATTTTAATCTAAATTATAAATATTATGGTGAAAAGTATTATAAAATTGAACAGCTTTTGAACATGTCTCAATTCTTTACAGAGTAATAAAAATAAACAACATTAATAAAGAAAAAAATCGTATTTGTGCATAGGTACCTACTGTATTTATGTTTCTACTAGCTAAGTGCTTACCGCTTACGTATAGTTTATAGAAATTATTAGGAACTTGAACAAAATAGGTACAAATAAAAAACTTAAAAACAAAAGTCCACGCTATCGTAGATATTCATAGGAAATTAGGAAACATTCTGTTCACCGTATTTAGAGAAACATAATTAGATAATAAATATAATTAACTTTACTAGTAATTTACGGTGTAAGTAGACATGTGAAAATAATTGAAAACTGAATTTTGCGAATTAAAATGAAACACCTATATATATATAATGTATTATATTGGTTTACTTAAAAACCGCATTAGACATATTTTATAGTATTATTATAATTGTTCGATTCGCAATAGATAGGTACTAAACACGTTAAAAAACTGTAACGCGTTATACCATAGGATTTACTGTCTTATCAAAAATAATTTCCATTAGATTTTCTTTACTTGGAAATAATTCTAATGAAATTACATAACGCGTCACAAACAAAGTAACGCGTTATTTTCGTTATATTACTACCAAACGGTCAATAGTGACGATATTATACATAATCAATGTACGATAAGGTACGACAGAATTACAAGTAAATAAAATAATTTGTGAATACCTATTAAGAAATTGTAAAAATAAAAACCATATATTAAGACGTTATTTGTCTTCTAATTAGAACAAACAATTGAACATAATTTTAACGAAAAATGTAAACAATGTATATGTCCAATGTTGAAAACTAAATGATGAACTTAATGAACGTATGCACAATTGGTACCTACACATTACACATATTATATAGGTTGGTTTACTAAGTAATATAGCCATATTATGTTTTATCACCATGACGTGTAATTGTTATGCAAAAATGTAATAATAAATAATAATCGATATCAGAATTATTATTCACAAATTGTTCTTGATTACCAACTACATTTACGATTTAAAAATCAAAATTATGTTTCTTTATTATTCTTGTAAAGTTATTACCTATATTAGACTTTTGGTATAAAATGTCAAAGAATCTCAACTAACTATCGTTCATTACGCAGTTTAAAATGTTTAAATAACATTATTGGCAAACATTCAATTTGATTTACATATTAAACTATGAATAAAAAAATTATAATTTAGCTCATACGAACGCATGTCTACATAACTATTGACACCTGTTGCATTATTATATTATACAGACCATTGAACATTGTACTGCTACTTGCTAGGCAATTGCTTGGTAATACTAATATGATATTAGTAATATCATTGGTTAATAAAAAAAATTACAAAAAATGTACTCACTAAATGTTTCTTAAAATAACGTTTAAATAATATACCTATAATCCGAACTAGACAAAAAATCATACCTACATGACGTGTCTAAATGGACATAGGTGATTTATTTATAATGCTAACCCTATTTTTTATGAAATATTATACAAAAACTTAAACAGTAGAAGTCTATACCTTATACGAGATGCCTAATAATCGTATTTCTTTAAAATGTATTAAAAATAATGTCATTCATTTATTAGCTTATCTACATTTTTGGTGTACTTATCAATATAAATATTTTATACTTTATAAATAACCTTAGTAGTAATACCTTAGTAAATATTATATATTATGTAGGTACTAGGTATAATAGCCAAATAGGTATTATATAATTCATATTTTATAATTATAATGTATAGATAAGTCATCAGTAAGTTTAGCAAAGGTATAACGGAAATTTTAATAAAAATAAATGTGACAAAATATATTACATACTATATACATTTATATGTACGTTTACTATAGAATAATTATATATTAGATTTATATTCTATAATTATTTCAATTTCATTTATAGTATTAATAAAATTAATAGAACAAAAAAATATTAAAAGAAAGATGATATGTTATCAAATAAAATGTACCTAATAAATTATTAAAATTAATAGGTAACTGAAAATAATAAACAATTAGATATTAAACTAACAATTATTGAAATAAAAAACTAAAAAATCGTGTAGTCATAGCAATACAGAAATTAATAATACATATCGCATTATATATAGCAGGTTGCATAAGCAATCACTAAACATTTAACGAATCAATAGTGAGCCAATAAGTCCCTTAAACATGATTTAGTGGCCCATGATTGTTTCATTAAATTTTATTGGACCATTAAATAATATATTTTTTATGAAACTCGGCAATAGGTAGGTACTATACTACTATCTGAAAATTGCTTGAATATTAAGAAAAACAAGATAAAAAAAAATGAAACATATTGATACATAGGTGGTGTAGGACCCAAGATCCCCGTCTATTTCGAGAATTGACGACGATCCATCGACCTATGCCTACATTAGTATGTATAATATAGGTAATGGGAATTGGTATCGTTAAGTACGGGAATACCTGTAGAATAAATACATTACAATTTACAATATTTAATTTTATAATAATATAATACGTACCCATGTGTCTAAAATCTGATTAAAAAATAAAAAAAAAAATATATTATCAATATACTATCATTGATTATAAATCTTTATATTCAAGTATTTATAACCAATGACATTATAATATTATTGTGTACGTACCTAAAATTATATAATATTATAAGTTATGTCTCGTCTAGAGTAGGTAAGTGTATATTAATATAATGTTTAATATTACAGTTATTACCCAATCGTTAGTATTTACATCTGATGAATAATAATATCCATATTTACATGGGTAAGGTGAGGTCAAGTTGGGTTACCTACAGGCTACGGGTAGGTAAAGTACCTAGAAGAAAAAGACTCAAAGACCGGTCGGACGAACGCGCGGAAACTCTTGGAATATGAAAAGGAAAATTAAAAAAAAAATAGATAATAATATTATATTATAATAGTACAACCTACGCTTACCTATATGCAAATTATTTTATATTGTCGTCTACAATACACACAGCACTTAATGAAACAAAAAATATTTTACGAGTATAAAATGACGTTTTTATAGGACGGACACGACACGCGTGCAGCAGACGCGGCGGGACTGGCACTAGTGGCACAGGGCACGGCGAACGACGCGCACGGACGGACGGCGGCGTGACGGATGACGGACGGGGCGCGACCAACACGCGGTTGACTGGCTCGGCACTCGGCACTTGGTCGGCAGACGGCATTCGGCGGAATTCCGACTCAAAATAATAGCTTCAAAATAATATACAATAATTCCATATCCATTGGAGGAACATGTTGCGGCGGCATTTTTTGTAGTAGGGCACAGTAAGGCACTACGGCCGTTACGCGGTGGCGACAACGAGTCGGCTGTGTTGGCGGGTGGAGGCGGCTGCGGCGGGGAGAAAACCAGTATGCGGACGAGTCTCAAAAAAAAAGTAAAACCGACACACTTGGGTTCACTTTAATGTGCACGACAACGAGGTCCGTAATGAAATAATCATTGTATAATATATCGTTATCATCATTATTATTATTATTTTTATTATTACCACACATTTTAGGTAGGTACCTATGATATATAGGTACCTCTCTACAGCGACGTCATGCAGATACCTACGCCGGTAATAATTGTATTAAATCGTTTAAGATTTCTCAACATCCTGGTACCTTTGTATATTTACATTATACAGAGTGGTTCGCTGTGCAGCTCATCGCCCCAACTGATAACTTTTTTCCCTAACTAAACCTCAATCATATTATAGGTATACACAATGTATTTTTGAAATACGATTTTGAAAAACTATTACTGTTTAATATGGAAACTATAGAATATAGTCGCGAATCATGACTTTATTATTATAATTTATAATGTTTATGTAATACATATAATATTTTGTGTTGGCATCTAAACTCGAAATTTGTTTATAAATGTGTCATATTCTTGAAAACTACGAGAAGTCGAGAAAGTCAATAATTTAGAGCTATGAACTATTTTATGTAGATATGTTATACATAAATACAATAAAATACATTTTACAAATTAATTTTAGAAGCTTTAAAGCTTGTGCAGGGGTCTACATGTCGGTTGCAGATATGGGCAAGTATCAACTGCACGAAGGACACTCTGTATAATATTACGCATCTACTACTCTTAGTTCTGGGTAAATATATACCTATTGTATAAATTGTATTCAATATATTATGCGCGACCGCTATTGAACGAAACAATATGACCTTTTTCCAAATGGTTTTTTGGTGTTTGGCTGTTATATCGACCTGCAGAATTGATTTATTTCATCAATGATGGTCTCCGGCATTTTTATACGCATTTTAAAATTCCACATAAAGGGAAATTATGTTCAGTTGACATTCTTGACAACGGTGGTGTGTTTCTTTTTCTATTTATTATTATTTTTATTATTTGGTAAATTTTCCTCAAGAAAAACATATTTCTAGGTCATATTAGGCTTGTATGGCGTGCATATAATATGCACGTTAATAGGAGTAACATATTAATAAATAACAACTGAAAAGCTGCTCGTTCGAATTTTGAATTAGGTAAATCAACATTTATCATAAAAATTAATAATTAGTCACTAAATAACCTACAGAAAGAAGGGAGGTTCTCATTTGAAAATAAATTTGTATCATTACAAGAACACTTCTTAAATAGTAGCTACTAAAATCTCATGAACTATTAACAAATTGAGTTATAAGTAAATATTTAAAAATTCTAAAAATCAAAATTTGAATAAATTCATAGTTAAGTAGCACAAAATGGGGGGTGAGCATACTTATTACTTGTTAAACCATTCTGAATGGATTAAACAGGCATTTATTCAACTTATAATTAGTAAATTACCTGTATATTTTTATACATTTAAATCTGTGTGTATAACTGAGGGTTTTTGGACATGAGAGGGAAAGCAAGAAAACAAGTTTTCGTCTAGTTTTTCAGGATTAAAATTGTGAGCAGACTTCATTCTATTTCTATAGTACCTAACTTAAGTTGGCTAGTATAGATAGGTTGTACCAGTGTATCACATAATATATTGATTAACTTAATAATAATATGTACATTTACTTTTATAATTGTATGTGTAGAATATACTTTATGTATATGTTATTAAGTTATTTTATATAGAAAAAATACCTATACAGTGAAATAAAAAAAACATTCATTTTTTTATTTATGGACTTGATCTAATAACGAGAATTATCCTTAGTAGCTGACTTTTTTGTTTGCAGGGGTCCCTATTTACTCTTGGTGACAGCTGTATAATATAGAGCTTTTACTGGCTATAATTATTTTGTTATTTATTGTTATTTGTTACCATCTTAGATCTTTCTACAGGAAAGTTAAAGTGAATTAAGAATATTTCATTACCAGTTTTCTCATTAGTAAATATTTAATGCATCGAAATAGGATTTTATAGATTTTTTTGTACTGAGAACCATAGATTATAAATCTAATTTTTTATTCTTTCAAATAATAATAGTTTTTATAATAAACAAATTATGGGTATATCTAATTCTATTATCTATATTGTATACTATCAATAATAAATATTTATTTTATAATCAGTTTAAATGTGTAACGCAGATATAGATTCAACTGCTGTACAAGTGTATTATGAATACCCAATAATAATATGCTTATAATAGGCACATTATATATACTTTGTATATATTAGGTATATACAAATATTTTAAAACATTTATAAAAAAGTTTGTCATTTTTAAATTTATAAAATCATTTTGTTTTAAGAATTGTTCAACATTTAAACATTTTATTGTATTGCCTATACTCATGGTTATGAAAAATATTTAATTGAGATACATACTTACAAACACTACACATGTAATTTAAATTGAAATATTTTTACAGTTTCAGCGTTATTTATTATACTTTTTTTTTAATGATCATTATTCATTAGCTTCAAAGGCCAATATTTATATTTCAATTTATAAATTAAAGTCATGCCTATTGATAATAGAAAATTATTTTTTAATAATAGTAAGTACCTATACTTTATAGGCTATAAATTGAGATTTGAGATCCAAATAGTTGTTGTTGGTTTATTCATTATAACCCTGTCTGCTGTCATAATATGACTATGTTTCTTTTGTTGTAGCTAGGTACCTAATTGTTGTAATATGATCATTTACATAGTTGAATAAGGTTGGAATAAAGAATTATTACGTACCTATATATTCTTACGAGGTCTACCACCCGCTAATAATGTCACATAAAATATTATTAACCTTGTATTTTAGAAGTTAGGACACTTTCCAGAATAAGAAATTTGGTAGATTAAATCTGACCATTACTATTACCATATATTTAAAGGAACGTAAAAATTAAGAACTAAAAAACCTAAACTTACGAATTACGATGTATTAAACCATAGAAATATTATGTTAGTTTAAATAATATGTGTAGGTATACACAATATAAGGAAAAACTGGTCGTCTTAAAACTACAGAGACATAATGCGTAAAAAAATATTGGCAAACTACCATATTATGACAATATTATATTATAATATTTCATAACTGTTCAATTATACCGTTTAATAACTATTTTAATATATACATTATATATATAGGTAACTATAGGTTATAGCTATGTTCATTATAATAATCTTCAATAATAAATTATAAAAATAGTTGCATGGCGGCAGAGTAAGTAGTATATGATATTAAAGGACTTATGTGTTACTGTATAAGTATTATAGTTAATTCGAATCACAACTTAAAATCTATATTTTACTTTGACAATACAAACATTTTTAATTTTTTTATTGAGATATGCCTCGTCATCTGGGCCATTGGCTGACAAATTTTTACAAATTTATTAGTATTTTCTTTATTTTAATAGATTACCAATATTGTAAAATGTTATTTTAATATGGTGATTGAAATTCGATATTTATAATACACACAATTTAATATAACAGTATTATGCTTTTATCAAAGATAGTCTGATAATGTTATATTAAATTGTTTAAAAAATATAAATTTACTTAATTATAGGTACCTAACTATGTATCTACCAGTAGGCACTAGCTGTATTATTATTAAAACAGTATATCGAATTTGTAACTGATAACATTTTATACTATAATTTCATGCTAACATAATTTATTTTCTTAATAATAAACCTTTATTGTTTTCTCGAATTAAATGGCAGACGCTTATTTTATAAATTTGGAGACTTTACATTGAGCATGCTTTGGTAATGGCGAATGAAAATATTAAATATTATACTTGCATTATGTATATTCTTTTATACCCGGGTAATACTTAGTATTTGAAAACAATACGATTTTGAATCGCTGTCTAATGTTTTTTTTTTGTACATCGAAACAACAAATGAACAATATCGTAATCTGAATCGCTCTTTATATATAAAAAAAAACATGATACATTGTGTTTTATTTATTTTATATAAAGTAAGTTTAGATAAAAATGAAAAATCAGGCATTCTTCACACGATGGGTGGTCAGTGGTCACTATTTTGGAAGATCCGCTTGGGTGGTGGTATTCGGTAGAGGTATATGTTATTATATTGGATGTACATAGGATAGGTATCGATTCCACCGAAATGATCTTTTTTACCTGTAAAATTAATCGATTGTGCCGTTGATAGCTGAACTTTTTTATTTGTTGATTCCACCAGCTCTTATTATTATAATTTTTTTTTTTTATTGAGCTTAAGCATCGTTAATTATTGGCATTTAGTTGGGTGTTACGGTTGGTTGAGGAACATGTGTATGTGGGGTAAATTTGGTGGTCACCCATCTGGGAGTTAGTGACGCTGGGCGATGCTTGGCCGCAGCACACATTAGTGATTGTGACCAGCGACCAACCACCGTGCCACAGCAGACCACAATATTATAATATTATTATAATAAATACATACACTTAACTGACTTTTTTAGTGACATAAAAATTCCAGAAATCAGAATTTGAATATATTCATTATTTGAGAAAAATGGGGTTGAGCATGCTTGGTGAATCACCCTGTATTTCATTATATTACAGTATTAAACATACTATTTGTAATGAGCCAGACAAATTTTATCGTACGTAATGTATATATTTTTCAATATTTCGTATAAAAATAATAAAAATATCATTGCCCTGTTGAATTATTTATGTAAAACTTGTAGACAAGTAATTTTACTCCAATATTTACTCGGGAACTAGAAAAAAATTATCAAATAAAAAATATGAAGATCTTATGAGTTACTGAATATTCTAGATATTTTTTATTTTTGAAAACAATTACTACCACTTATTTAAAAATGTTGACAAATATTCAAAATATTAATTGTATTTCATTTACAAATAAAAACATATGTACTGATAACTGACTAGTGCATAGAGATGCAATTCACACAGTATAAATGGAATTAGTGTTGTTTTATTTTTCAGTACTTCTAAAAATATTTATTGAATGAAAATCGTATCATATAAAACAGATGACTTTAATAATCCGTAACTAAAGTAAAAAAATTTTAAATGTTTTTAGATACACCCACTACATGTATTTATATACCTATCTCTTATACTATTTTTTTATTTACTGATTTATTAGTATATATTTATATTATATTGTGTAAACTGTAGGTAGTATAGAAATAAATTGTATTTATTTATTTTTCTCCCTATGATCGTAGGATGATGGGTGGGCAGTATAAAGTGCTTATTGAATTGATTTGATTCAATTTATTATTAATTCATTATAATAATTGTCCGCAACTGAATATATAATAACAATTATTACATTTTGAATGTAGTATCAAATGAAAATTTTAATTCATAAATTATAACTATTCAAGTAGGTAGGTACAGTAGGTACACTGAGATAACATTTTGTAACTAGCTACGTTAATGTTTAGTTTATAATAAAATGTAAAAATCTAATATCGGTCATCACAATTTTAATATCGTTGAAATGCATTGGCGTCTATTAAATATAAAGACCTACCTACTCTTACAAATTTTAGTGTATTATATGTATAAAGTTACAATGTAAATTAATGGTTTTTATTGTATTGAATAAAATAATTTTTGTTTAGCTTTTAGCTATATAGTAAACACATAACTCAAAGGTAGGTCAACTAATTGTTATCTTTATTCATGAATAGACACATTTTAATACAATGAAATATTTACATTATTATAGTTTATAATATTACTGTATCAGTGTATCTCGTTGACTATCGCGAGGATCATTTTCGTTACTAGATAGAATATTTAAAGGGACCAAGAGGGGTGATTTCGTCCCTTAGAACTTTTCGGTCGTTTCGGCCTCGTA